GTTGTAAAATTCTTTTCCATGGTCGGTCTGCAAATTTTTCGGAATTCTCTCCCTAAATATCGCGGAAAATGCTTTGGATGTTTCAATTCCACCTTTGGTCTTTAAGGGCATGGCCCACGCGTACTTGTTCAACACATCGATAACGGTTAGAATGTAGTTGCAGCCGCCGTTGGATCGCGAGTACGGTCTCATCTCGACAATGTCAGCCTGCCACAAATCGTCGTATCCTTTCACGACGACTGGCCGACGCGTAAAGTTTCTTCTCGCCGGTGCGTGGAGCTCGTCCACGAGCGATCTCCTCTCCAGGCTCACCGCTTCCTTCATGCTCATTGCGATTCGTCCTGCTTCTTCTTCATTGCCTCATCGTAGTATTCGATGAAATTTTTTCTCACAGCTCTACGAAGATTGTGAATCTCTCGCTCGACAAGACTCTTCGTCTCTCGCTCGTGATCGACGAGTTTTCCATCGAATCGCGCTACACTCTCGTCGAGGAGACCTCTCAGATCGTGAATCTGTCGTTCCAACGTCACGTATCTGGTCTCAATGTAATCGTCGTGGTCTCTCTTCCAGGTCCGCTCGGTATTCTCCGAATCTTCGAATCTCGAAAGTACTTCTCGCTTAAAATTTTCACAAAGCATACGATCTCGATTCTCACGATCGCTCATAAGCTTGAGGTGATGATCCAGATGCAGCTTGTTGACGGCGTCGGTGTCCGCTTCAGGGTCGACGAGATGTCTGATTACGCGTGACTTAGCGTTGAAAACCTCACCATCCTTGCAGAGACAATGCTCACGCACGTAATTCTTCGAGACTCCGCCGCTCTGTCTCGTCACCCTGTCGCTTCCTCCTCCTAGCTGTAGTCCGAATTTGTTGATAGATATTCCTGTAGCATCGCACAAGCAATACTGGTGATAGTTGAAAAGCTGTGATCAATTTATAATCAGACCAGCTTTGCGCAGTTCCTCGATAATCGAGAGAAACTCGTTGTCGTGCGCGTTGTTTTCCGCCTGACGGGAGGCGTCCAGCAATCGAAGGCGATCCACCAATTCGTTCGGATCATCCCAGTGCACGTAATCGACCGCGTTGTCGGTCACAGTCATGGTCTGTGGTACGTTACACTTGGGTAACGTGTGACCCGCACCTTTCTTGTCGAGATGTGCAACACCTCCACCTTTCTTAGATATCAGAGGTGTGATGATATGTTTGTATTTGTATCCTTTGTTTCCCAAAACAGGTAAATGTGCGTTATGACCGCGTCTGTGAGCGTTAGTAGCGAGTAGTATGCTCTTGTACTTTTGTTTGTCATCCTCCGTACACAGCGTATCGTCGGGAAGTTTTTAAATATTAATTCAAACAGACCAGGCGTGCCCGCGTATTTCACACCGTCCACAATCACATTGTCGTCTCTATCAATGTCGAAGGCCTTGTCTCCGAGAAACGTTCCCGCATCGTTGAAGTATACACCGTACACGTTATCGATCCTTCTCTTCTTGTCACCGCTCAAGAGCTCCCCGATGTACTCTTGACCCAGCGGACCCATTTGACCATACAGAGCTTCCCGACCATCGGACGTTTGCATTGTCTGTCTCACGGATGTTACGAAAGACGGGTCCGTGGTTTCGAACACGTTTTCGGTCGGTAAATATGTCGGCGCTTCAAACACCAATTTTTGCGGCTGGAACGGAGTCGAGGCTTGTATCGGTGACGTCAATGGGATCTGTATCGGTGTCGTCAACGAGGTACGCTTGATTTTCTTCTTCTCAGAGCTTGTCCGCTTTCGTTTGATGTCTGGTTCGTTTTTAATCTCGAGATCGTCAACTGAATCATCGTCACCCTTGATGTTCTCGACGATTCGTTTCAACGGCTCTACGATCGGTTTCAACCGTTTCTCCAATTGCGCCTCATGTTCCACTCTACCCGTCTTCAACGTCCGATGCTTTTTGCGAATCGACTCGCTCGTACAAGCGATTTCCTTCGCGATTTTCTCCCTCTCGTCAATATCTTTCGTGTCGAGCGTCATCGTCAACGTCTCGAGAACAACTAACCATTCCGCGGTACCGCAAACTCGTTAAAACCACGTCTGTATCGTCCATCGTTAATCGTACTATCCTTGTCTATCACTAAAAATCCGTACTTGTGCTGCCAACATGCGTGACACAATGTACTAAAATCTTCACACGTCATGTCCGTATTCACATGATCGTTATAGACATGCTTAAGGTTTGTTCCATCCTGCTTGAATATTACGAGTAAATTCGCGTTGTCGCGCACGAGATGTTTCGGTATTTTTGCATGTTTGGCACAGATAGAAACAATCGACTTTCGAATGTCGACCCATAGCAAAGTACTCGCGTATCGCATTCTACTTGTCGCACGCTATATCGTCAAAGACGAATTCGGAATTCGGTAATGCCTCGCTGCGGTACAATTGTGTTAGGTTAGGTGTTGTTGTCCGAGAATGTAAAGTAGCCGATTCCATCGATCGATCCGAGCAATCTTTCGAGATACCGATACTTTGATTGATTCAACGATTTCGAGTACACGTACACGTTTTCGAAACGTACACCGTTCGGACTTTCCAGCAGACTAATTATTACATTGGTTTTACCGCAATTCGAGGGACCGCAAATGATACCGCGTATAGTGTTTGGCAGCATTTAACCATGTCTGCACGCCTTCTCACAAACCCCTTGCGTCTTATCATCCATGTTTTTCACACGGATCGTGTACGGTTGTTGTACAAATTTCATTTTTAACCAGACTCTTTCTCATCCTTGTTATTACGCGACGAGTGCACTGCATTGGATGTTGGAAAGAGCGGTGCTCGGATATTTGTCGCTAGATCTAAAATATCTCTATTTCCATACATGATTCGGACATCATCCTGAAAAAAAAAATATTGTTTCAAACACACAATTATCATTACAACTTTTGCGACATTCACCTCCTTCCGTCCCTTCTTATTATCCCGGTTATTCATTGTACTTTGTCGTCCGACAAACTTTGATATTCTACTAATTAATGATCGATACGCGCCTCCTATTTATAGGTGAGCGCTGTCGAAACACACCTCAGTTGGAAATGTGATTTACACGCGATACGTTAGAATTCGCGTTCTATGAAACGATACAAGGATGCCGGTTTACTGAACAGTGTGATAAATCGACTACCGTTGGAGCTGCACATACCCGGCTACCAATTTTGCGGGCCGGGGACTCGTCTGCGGAAACGACTCGCGCGAGGGGATCGAGGTATCAATCCGTTGGACGCGGCGTGCCGCGATCACGACGTCGCGTACTCGCAAGACCGCGAATCAGCGGACCGTCACGCAGCCGATCGCGTTCTCGCCGATAAAGCGCGGGTGCGGATCACCGCTGCGGACGCGACTCTCGGTGAGAGGGCTGCTGCTACCGCCGTATGGGCTGCTATGAAAGCAAAGACGAAATTGGGGATGGGTATGACAAAGGGAAAGAAGAAGAAGACCAAGAGGAGAACGCTTCCGGCGGCGAAACACGGTGGTATGTTACCGTTATTATTGCTCTTGGGAGTCATCGGTTCGCTTGCCGGTGGAGCGGCGGGTGTTGCAAAGGCGATGAACGACTCTAAGGCCGCGCGATGACAACTCGAAGAGACGAAACGTCACAATAAAACAATGGAAGGACGGGGGATTTATCTCGCTCCGTACAAGCGGGGCAAAGGATTGAAAGAAAAAAAAAAAACGTACGAAAAAACGATAGAGATGCCCGCGGGTGCCACTACCAATCTACAATTGTTACAAATAGCGAAGCGTATGCGAATACCGTATTTCCGAGGTGTCTACATGCGTAACGCTTTACCCGACAAGATACATAAAAATGAGAGCGGTATCGTGAATTTGGACGATGTCGACGGGCCGGGCACGCATTGGGTGGCGTACGCCAAGAGAGGCGATCGCGCCGTATACTTTGACAGTTTTGGCAATTTGCAACCGTCGAAGGAGATTACACGCTACCTCGGAGGCACCGATACAACGATAACGTACAATCGCACAGTCTACCAGACGTACAATCAAACGATCTGCGGACAATTGTGCCTCCTGTTCCTCCAGAAAATAGATATAAAAATCGATCCGCCATCGATCGACATCAGTCGTCGATGGAATCTCGGCAATGTCGCTGACGCTCACTCTAAGCGGTAAAAGCAGCGTTCTCACGGTGGATTATTTTCCACCGATAGACTTGAGCGATGGGGACTACGAGCTCGGCCTAACCACGATGGAGACCTACAACACGATTCCGAACGTGACGGTAGCGAACAATAAATTTTATTTCGACGACAATGACGAAGAAATTACAATTCCCGAAGGATCGTACGAATTGGACGCCATTGCTTCTTATCTGAAACGTGCGATACTGCAAAAACGAGGAAAAAGTGAAGAGCAAGATTATCCATTGTCACTTTGTCCCAACGTTAATACCATGAAGAGTGAAATCATGTGCGCTTTACGAATAAATTTCGTCAAACCGAATACCATCGGACCGCTGTTTGGATTTTCGACGAGTCGTATACTGGAACCGAGAAAGTTGCACGAATCAGATTCCTCGGTAAACATCGTCAACGTAAACATTATTCGAGTGGAATGCAGCATAACCACGGGTGCGTACGCCAACGACAGGTCGGTGCACACGATACACGAATTTTCACCGAACGTGCCTCCGGGATATAAAGTCTCGGAAACACCGGCGCAAATCATTTACCTTCCGGTCATCGCGAGGAGCGTTACCGATATCACCTTGCGTGTGGTGGATCAAGACGGACGATTGATCGATTTTCGCGGAGAGGAGGTTACCATCAGACTGCACTTGCGGCGACGTGGTGCGAGGAAATGTTCGTGTTGAACGAACAGCGAGTGATTGAGAGAACAACGAAAATTGAGAAAACATCGCCATTCAAGAGGCTCAGTACGACAAACGTAAACTTTTTAAAATCATTGGGATTCGTTGTGAGAAACGATTATAGAGATGGATATACTCGACATCGCTGACGAGCCCGTCTTCGACGAGCGTATCGTGAAATATGAGATCCACACGTACAATCCGTACGCTAACACGACGTTGGGACACAGCGACGAGATACGAATACCTATAGAGCAACAGGATTTGTACACGTTGCCGTGTGAGAGTTTTCTCTACATTGAAGGAAAACTCGTTACTCCTGCCGATGAGAATAGAGATAACGTGTGTATAATGGGAAATAATTGTGTCGCGTTCATGTTTGATGAAATGCGATACGAGCTCGACGGAGTTGAAATCGATCGTAACAGAAACGTTGGAATAACGAGCACGATCAAAAACTATGTATCGCTGACGACGGAAAAGAGCAAGACGCTGAAATACATATCGTGGAATCCGGATGGAAATCCGTTGCTCGATGGAAACTTTAATTTTTGCGTTTCGCTCAATATTCTTTTAGGATTCTGCGAGGACTACAAACGGATTGTAATCAACGCTCGTCACGAACTTGTATTGATACGATCGCGCAACGATAACAATTGTCTCGTTGAACGAGTCGGTACGAATCCAACGATCGAACTACTCAAGATACAGTGGCGAATGCCGCACGTATCTCTGAGCAAAGTCAACAAGCTGTCTCTTCTTCGAACTTTGGAAAGCGGAAGATATCTGAGCGTGTGCTTCCGTTCGTGGGATCTGTATGAATTTCCTCTGCTGCAGAATACAACGAAGCATTCCTGGGCGGTCAAAGCCGCGACGCAATTGGAAAAACCGCGACGTAATCTTCGCTCTCCAGACCGGTCGAAAAAACGTACTGTCTGAAAACGCTACGCAATTTGACGCTTGTAAACTCACCAATGTGAGACTGCATCTGAATTCAGATTTTTGTCCGTACGACGACATGAATTTGGATTTCGACAAGAGTCGATACGCTATACTGTACAATATGTATGCGCGTTTCCGCAAAGCCTATTACGGACAGGACGATACGTATTTGGACATCGATGAATTCTTGAAAGCCGGTCCGTTTGTAGTCATAGATTGTTCACGACAAAACGACTCTGTCAAGAGCGCCACCGTTGACGTGCGAATAGAATTTGATTGTAAGGAAAATATACCGGCCAACACCACCGCCTATTGTCTCATTATACACGATCGATTGGTCGAATATAATCCACTGAACAACATTGTGCGCAGACTCGTGTGAAAAGTTATAAATTAGACGTGTGCGAATGGGAACGTCAGTTTTCCGACGATTGACGACGATGTCTAACGTACCAATTTTTGTCGATCTGCAAGGTTACACGTTCAACAACATTTTTATTGTGAAAGAAGCAACGGTATTTCGAGATGGCGAAACGCTGTCTCATTACGTATTTCGTGAACACGTACCGTGGTATCTGTTGACGAAATCGGAAAAATCGCTGGCGTGTTGGTTACGGATACACCACCACGGCTTCCGTTGGGAAGATGGACACGTCTCGTACAGTCAGATGAAAAGCCTTATCAACAATGCCATTAGTACGGAACCGCCTCTGATATACGTGAAAGGACTCGAGAAGAAAAAGTGGCTGTGCGAGATTTTGGAAGATGATGTAGAGATCGAAACGATCGATGTGGATTACGAAGATATTGCACGCCTGACGAACTTAGATGTAATCGGAACCTTGCGTTGTGGGTATCACACGAGACATTGCGCTATGCGGAATGTTTGCAAATTGTACAAGTGGTGGTTTGAGCGTAACAAACGTGTAAAACAACTATGATTTATTCTAATAAAATGATGTATATCACACTCGTATGACTTTTATTCCACCTTTTACCGATCACATAATCCACCATGTAATATGACCTAACGCTTATCTCGTACATCTATCGAACGTCTATTGTACGTCTTTGAACGTCAATCGAACTACTTTTAACATCTATTGAACGTCTATCGTACGCCTCTCGTACATCTATTGTACGTCTTTGAACGTCTTTGAACGTCTCTCGTACGTCTATCGAACGTCTATTGTACGTCTTTGAACGTCTCTCGTACGTCTATCGAACGTCTATTGTACATCTTTGAACGTCTATCGAACGTCTTTTAACGTTTATTACTACAGCGAAATTGACGTTTTTGCGTCGAGCTGTATATAAAGTGTGCGGAAGAGAGTAATTTATCAGTTCAAAGTGTGCACGCGGTGGAGAAAAAAAAAGTATAGAAAATGGAGCGTGATCAGAATAGAAAAAATTCCGAATACGAGAAGTGTAAGGATTGCGGAGTGTACCACAAGCCGATAGCTGTGGTCGAGCCTCGTCCGAGGACGACTCAAGCACCTCCCGTCCCCCCTCGTAATCGTGAAAGGCGTTAGAGGCTCAGTTGAAACAATTTTTAACATTTATCATACATTAATTTAACTTTTCATGAGTGTAAGGCATCCTTGTGAGATAAGTATTCACGTGTGTCATACGTATCTTTTGTTTTTGCTGTAGTAGTTTGTAAATAATAGTAATACAACCTCGTGAGAGAAATATTCACGGGTATCAAACTCATTATATGGAGTCGCTATGATATCTCTTGTACGATTTGTTTATGCCGCGGTGGTTTGTAAATAATAGTAATACATCCTCGTGAGAGAAGAATTTCATGGGTGTCAAACTCATTATATGGAGTCGCTATGATATTATGAGATTTGTTTATGCCGCGGTAGTTTATACTACATCTATCAAACACCTATCGACTGATATTCGGTTACTCGGGAGAAGAATTATGTTTCAAAATTATAAATTTGGAGTATGTTTGAAAAGATAACCCCCGTAGAGCGGTCACATAGATTTGCACCACATCTAAGAGACGTACTATAAAAATGCGTCGGAGGTTGGGACCGTCACACGTCTCCTACAGTTCACGAGTTTGTGAGTAACAGTTTGAATTTAAAAAAAAAAAATAGGCACAATTATATACAATTGAAATACATGAGATTGAGCAGTTGATGAGGGCTGTGATGGACCGGATCACCGTCCTGCACGGTGCGGTGTATCATTTTGAAGAGGCGACGAGAAATGTGCAGCAACAACACGTGCTGCACAATTTTCGAATTGAATATGATGTGCATGGGCGTGAAAACGGGGTGATACTGACATCGCTGTAAGTATTGCTATTTGATATTACATATGACAGATTTAATCTTCATCCTATATTATTTTGTTTTTATTTTGCTTACAAGCAGGATATACGGGTAAACTTGCTATCGGTGTACCGCTCATTGGACATTTTGACAACACAATTCCAACAAATGGAAAGCGATGTGGCGCGCACCGCTGATGTATTGAGAGCGGTGAGAGAGGCGCATTCTGCGGACGATGATGTACAACCGTAAGTATTACATTCGATAAGTATCATTACTTAATTATTTTCAGTATTATTAATAGTAATTTTTCTGTTTCAGATGATGGTCCCGCGTATTTTTTTTTTTATTATTAGTTTTTATTATATTATTATATTATTATAGTTTTTATTT